TGTAAACAGGAGAGCGAGTTTCAGCGTCTCTTCTGACATCCATTTTGACCTTTTCCTTCTTTCTTGTCTTCTTAATGACTTTTTGCTTTCTTCACATATGATGTTCTTGATGTCATCCCACAACACTTCTGGTCTTCGGTCTTTAGTGTTTAATGTATCATCTGTTCTTCATTTTATTTCTAAATTCAGATGGAATATATTCAAGGTCATATTTTAGCTCTTGTGGACTTGTTTTCATGTTCTTCAACTTTAGTTTGAATTTTCAGATGAACAATTGATGGTCTGTTCTACAATCTTCCTCTGGCCTTGTTTTGGCTGATGATATGGAGCTTTTCCATTGTTTCTTTCCACAGATGTATTTCTGTGCATTCCATCTTGTGAGGGCCATGTGTATAACCATCTCTTATGCTGTCTAAAGAGGGTATTTGAAATGAACAAATCATTGATTTTGCAGAATTCTATCATGCCATCTCCAGCATCATTTCTATCACCAAGGCTATATTTTCCAACTACTGATCCTTCCTCTTTGTTCCCAACCTTTGCATTCCAATCACCAGTAATGATCAATACATCTTCATTTCATGTTTGATCAATTTCAGATTGTTAGAATTCTTCTATTTCATCCTCTCTGGTTTTAGTGGTTGGTGCGTAAATTTGAATAATAGTGGTATTAACTGGTCTTCCCTATAGGTGCATGGATACTATCCTATCACAGACAGAGTTGTACCTCATGACTGATCTGGATATGTTCTTTTTGACAATGAATGTAACACCATTCCTCTTCAATTAGTCAACCCCTGCATAGTAAACCTTGTGATTATCAGATTCAAAATGACAAATACCAGTCCATTTCAGCTTATTAATATCTAAGATATCGATGTTGATGTGTTTCATTTCATTTTTCATAATTTCCAGTTTTCCTAGATTCATACTTCATACATTCCATGTTCCAGTTATTAATGGAAGTTTACAGCTGTTTCTCTTCATTTTGAATTGTGCCTCATCAGCAAATGAAGGTCCTGTGGGCTTTACTCCCATTGGCATTACTCCATTCGCATCATCATGGTCAACTCTACTTTGATGAGGCAGCTCTTCCCCACTCGAATTTTTTAGTGCCTTCCGATCTGAGGGGATACTTTTATGGCACTATATCTGACAGTTTTTCTCTGCTGTTCATAAGGTTTTCAGTGACTAAATATTCGGAAGTAGTTTGTTACTCCTTCTTCCTAGTCTGTCTTCATCTGGAAGATCATCTGAAACTTGTCCACCATGAGTGACCCTGCTGGTATTTAAAATATCTATGGCATAGCTTCCAGAATCACAGTAACTCACAAGCCACCACAGTACGACAAACAAACTGACAGATGAGTGGTGGAGGGGAGGGTACGGAGCAAGTAAAAAAAAAATCATATCTTTGCTCTGTGAGCCACAAGAATGTTTCTGTAATGCTAACTGTTTTCTTGTCTCTGAAGTTACTCACAAAAGCTGAAGATGGCTGTGTCTGTCTGGTCACAGGCTCATATCACCAATCTCCTTATTTTTCTGTATCTCCTTAGCTATCTATCTTAGTAAGCATTCAATCCACTTCAGTATCACTTCATCTGAAGCTCAGAATTGTAGGGCTATCCCCTGCATCTGTTTCATTTGGTTATCCATATCTTTGTTGAAGAAGGTCTGTACAGCCTTTCTGCCTAGTCGGCCAGCTTACTGCCTCTCAAGTATTCTAAAATGTAATGATACTTCTGTACTAAGTGATTCAAGAATCCCCCAAAGAAATATATGGATTTTAAATAAAGAAATGTGAAAGACCAAATTAAATCACTTGAACTGATTTTTAAATTTAGCTGAAATTCTCTTTTAACCATTTTGTTTCATCTTCATTTAATATATATATATTTTTAAATCAGACAAGAAAGAGTTGAGAGTTAAATGAATTATTTAGTATATATTATGGAGTCATAGTGTGTTGTGGTGGACTAATGCGACAGACTCCAAAGTCATTTTGAACTTCAAGGTCGGTGGTTCGAGCTCAACACCCACTCCTCAGAAACCCTGTACAGGGTTGCTGTGGGTTGAACCAACTCGAAGGCACATAACAACAATAACATTAACTGATAATAATAATAATACAATCCTTTCATCTGGACATGGAACCAACGGCTTTCTGCTTTAAGGAGTAATAACCTCACAGTGTTATATGTCACCTTTGTCTTTGTTTCTTTGTTTCTGGTCCATTAGCCAAGGAGAAGTCAACATTAAATCAAATGCTCTGTGACACATCAATTGCTCTCTCCTTTTTAGACTTCTGGAAATATCCACAGTGGCTTCTCTCTAAAGTGCTTATGCCCAGAAGAGACTAAAAGATCAGTTACAAACAAAACAAAGTTTGAACTCCCTTAATATGTTAGGGGAAAAATTACATAATCAGC